GTCCCGATCACAATAAAGAACATAATAATATAGCAGTAATTATACATCGCGTGGAAGTTGTTTATCTATTCACATTTTCGTCACTTAGGCTTGGGAAAATGCAAGCATAAAAAATAGTGGAAAATAGTGTGAAACAAACAGTGTATACGCGATGGTTTACCATAAATTATTCGCTTTACAGCCAATCGCCGGAGTTATTGATTGCCCCTTTAGTAGCTTAACGATCTAGATAAGAATTTTATGAGTACTGGCGCCATCATTATAAATATTTACTTGATATCACCCTGTGGAAGTCAATTCACAATGCCGTGCAACGTATTTCCGTAATCGTAACCCACGCGAATATAGACAGATAGATTGTAAAATATAAAATGCTTTTAATCTAACGTGATTCAATTAACTTAAATATTATTCTCTTAATTACTGTTTTATTTATTCACACAGAAAATTTTTAGTAACTTTGAGGCGTCCATAAAACGCAAAATAATGCACTTTAAAATCATTTTCGTATTTAAAAAAATTGTTTTTCCTCTTCTATATTATATAAATATTCTGCATATGAATATTTTTGATCCAATAAATGAATACTAACATTGTTAGAAAAAAATGTAAAAAATGGATCGTAAATGTATCCGTATTCGCGGTCTACTACAGTTTGCTCGCAAGTAAATAGAAAAGTGTATGGTATGTTTGCACAAACACTTGATGTTCCTTCTTTCACACTGCTCGTTACGTTCCAACGAACAAGCTTACTTTTTGCCGTAATTGAGATACTCGCCGGAGGAGTATTAAATCTAACACTACGTGTTTGCCCTACAAAAGAGAGACTATATTTTCTGCGTAATAAATGTTCCATGTACAATTATATCTAAAGAGAGAGCATTAATATATTATTATATACACAAACATATATATTCTTAAGATAATTAGATATCTTAGAAAAATTAAACAATGCCAAAAGAAATTTCAAATAAGATTATTACAATTTGTGTCAGCATAACACATGCGATTATCTTTCGCGAAAAACTATTGTGTCGAAAACTAACTTTTATGTATACATATACATATATTAGGTCTACCGGAAAGTTCTGTCCGTTTTTGGAATAAAACAAAATACAAATTTTTATTAAGATACTTCATTATGCGTTTGACACTCTACAAAATGTTTTTCATCGACCGTGTTTATTACGATAGAATAAATTTTATTAACAATCGATATAATTTTTATAATTTATGACACAATCAAATTATTTTGTCCAATTTTATTTTAATTTTTTATTTCTATTTTTTTGATAAAATTAGTCATTAATATTTTTCGAAATATACATTCGTCTTGTTTGACATTTGCTCGTAAAAAAGTGATACGATTAATCGCGAGATTAATCATCGTATAGTTAAGGATCTCGGTATTAATATGAGCAATAAAGATGAGTCATCATCAATGTTTCCAAGATTCTCTTCCGCCTTATTCTTGTTTCAATCTTGAGGTCGACATTTAGTTTTCGAAGGAACAAACGGGCAAACGCGAACTACAAGTAACGTCACCTCCATTAATCTTCCTCCTGCTCGGATTAGATTTAACCTAAGGGATTCTCACGATCTTGTCTCGACCGAAATTACGATCGCGACCTCTTCGTGACTCTGCATCATGAAAGCTGATTCATCTCGAAGGGGAACAATCCGGAATAATTGAAAATAGAACACATAAAATATTTAATAAATCAAATAATTTATGTACCAACTCTATGGAATCTATTATTACATTAAATCTATATTGAAATAGTACTTGTTGGTAACAGCAACCAAGATTGTATAATGATTAATTAATTACGTAATACTTCTTTTTCCTTTCTCTCGAGGCGAAACGTGATTATGCGTTTGCGCCAATTGCAGAGCAATGCTATTGACGCGCATGTTTCGAGCCGCGAGCTTGAAGATAGGCAACGAACAATAATCCGACAAAGAATAATGGATAGCAATGAGGTATTGTCCCGTGTCGCTTTCAACGAGTCCAATTAAAGCGCGTCCTTCCGTCGGCTTAAAGTCAGAGACGCGGTGGAGTTTTTTCACCGGCAACGAGTGGGATGGAGAATTGTGTAACCCTAGGTTTCAATAATAAAAGTCTCGTTACGTTTTGCGTTTACGCTCGCTATAAATTATCACGTTTCCCGTCCGAATGTTTTTTTTTGTCCGATAGCGATTGCGCGTCGCGGAATAATTAAAGCATAACGAATTGACAATGTGGTAAAATTCGTATTGATTTTCCCGCGACCTTTTCTGTTCCCAACAATATATCATATTTACCGATATTATATTAGGTCTACCGGAAAGTTCTGTCCGTTTTTGGAATAAAACAAAATACAAATTTTTATTACCGTCAATAAACTTTATTAAATAATGTAATTGCCATTATTATTAATGATTTCTTGCCAGCGTGAGGGCAATTTGTATATCCCATTTTCGAAAAATGTTTTATCTTTTGATGCGAAAAATTGAACCAGTGCTTGTTTGATATCTTCTTCATTTTTGAATTTTTTGCCCCTCAAAAAGTTTTGTAAGGACAAAAACAAGTGATAGTCGGTGGGTGCTAAGTCCGGGGAATATGGTGGATGCGACAGAATTTTCCAGCCTAGTTCTGCAATTTTTTGACGAGTATCCAAAGCAGCATGTGGCCTGGCATTATCATGATGCAGTATGATGTTCTTCCTATTGAACATCGGCGGCCTCTTTTCTTGGACTGCTGTATTTAAATTATCCAGTTGCTGACAATACTTCTCCGAATAATGGCAATTACATTATTTAATAAAGTTTATTGACGGTAATAAAAATTTGTATTTTGTTTTATTCCAAAAACGGACAGAACTTTCCGGTAGACCTGATACATATATAAAGTATTTTATTTAGCTCGCGTGTTTATGTCCAATTCTTAAATTCTATCAGCGTTTCCGGCAAGTGCTCATCGAAAAATATACAAATGATCGAATGCACTTGTCTTCGATTGCACATCAATTTGCCTCGCGCGTATCGCATTCGCCGGACAGGCTATCAATACCGACTCGTTCACATAATGTACGATTATTTCAATTATTTTATTACGTATTAATCTTAGCCCACAACATAATGCATATAATCATGAACCTATTATTTCCGCAAGTGCGGGCGGGCGAGTGGGAAGAGAGCGTTCATTCCGCTTCTCTCCGCTTTCTTAGCCGTCGCATTTTAACGATATTGTAATTTGGAGACCGCAAACCCCCTGACGTCACCGGGTGCATCGAAGCATCTTGTTGGCGCGCAACCTATCTCTGCACCTACCCACCCACCCTTTGTGGGCCGATAATCTCGATCAAAGGAATATTAACGGTCAACGAATTATAGGAATTTCGACAAATTAGATATCGGGCGAATTGAAGGATTGCGTTACTAATTCCGTCGAAAAACACAGGTGCGCCGATCGTTACACCAAGATTTATTCAACCGAGACTCGCTGTCATGCGAAGATCTCTTTCAAGAGAAAGAGCGATTGTTTATCTTTGCAGACGTGATGTCTAATACACACGTGTCATACATGATATGCAATGTTCTTAGTAAAAATTAAAATCTAGGAACGCGACGCTTCGAACGCGCGAAGACAAGATGCGAAGTTCCGTTCGTGAAATCCTTTGTCTGAGAAGTACTCATTTATTCAGTGAGAATTCGGTTGGATGCACTAGTGCACATAAAAATACATAAATTTATAATGCCATAAATAATTTAAAAAATAAAACAATTTTATTGTTGTTTAATACAAATAATAATAATAGCTCATACTATTATAATTATCTTAATGTTTTAGTTACTTATGCTTATATTGTGAATTTGTGTACGACAATCTTTAATGTGCTCCAGTGCGCACTAGTGCATCCAACCGAATTCGCTATCAGTATTTATGAGAGAGAACGTGAGGAATCATCCGCGTTTAAATTGTCGTTACGAATAGTCGCGTCCTGCCCTTTTCTTGTCCGATCCCACGGCGCCGGTGATCCAGCCGTCGCGGCTACACATGCGGCCTTCCATGCCAATCTTAATATTATCCTTCGAATTATGGCCCTAATGTTATCCACGTACGAGCTATCGACTCTAATGATCGAGCACGAAATTCGGAGCGGTTTCTTCTCGCCAGACGTCAAACCGGTATGTATTAGGAATTAGGATTACTATCGGGATTATTTCGCAACTTTTAGCAAACAGGAAGATTTTTCCTTCTTATTAAGCTTATATAATAAACGACCTATTATATGCTATTATGTTTACGCATGTCCGAAATAAATAAAATGCGGTGCCATTTTTTTATTTTAACAAAAGAATACTCACGCGAAAATATTCATGCCAGCGCAAAAAATATTTTTTACTTCTCGTATTAGGCTAATGACATGTAATTATTTGCTCGTATCAAACGTGCTATATGCGGATATTTCGCAGCGTCACGGACGAGTGAAGTTCCGTCGCGAACACGAGACATTGTCACGAGATTTCGCCGTCATAAATCTTGAGCTATATCGACGTGGCGAAGTGACGCGAATGATATTCGCCTGTTGGCTAGAATACATTCATATATATCGCGGCACATATCGTGTAGTCTGTCCTGGCAGGAAGCGGCCGGCTATACACGGCATAACTTGTAGCCGTGTCGTGATAGCGACACTTCATAAACATGGGCTGGCGTCATGTCGGCGTGGTACCAATGCGAAACCCTTTTACATCGCCGATCGTTATCCGTCCGTGCCGATGGACATCGACATTGAACATCCGTTATGTTTACGACCTGTCCCGTGTAAAAAAATGCGTCGAATATCGAAGACCACTAAACTTTTGACTTTTATTTCATAATAAATTTTCGACTATTCTATTCGCGCATATCTCATAAAATTATTAATACGAATTAGCAATAAAATATTTATAATTATTTAAATATTGTTTATATAAAATATTGAAATATGTAATATAGCAGAATAAATAATAGCATATATAAATCTTACTTTTTACAAAGTAGTTAGAATCTAAAAATGGTAACAAGAATAGGCAAATGTTTGTGCAAACATACATAATAATATCACACTATAATATAACCATAAAGATCATAAATGGGGAGATCTGTTCAATATATAATCGGAAGGATCATAAATTGATTCACTCACCCCATACATTCTATCTATAATCAGGTCAATCCGAGGAAGAAATCTGAAAGATACAATAATTAAATAATTTTAGTTTGTACAAACTTGTTTCAAATATTACAAATATTATTGTTGTGCATTTCAACACATTTTTCATATTTACATTAGATTCGGATTAAAAACGGCTAGTTTACATTAATATTATTATTATTATAACACAAAAGTTGTGATGTGCTATTTAATCCACCAAAATATAACAAAATGTAATAATTGAAATTTTAAAACAGAAATGAGACACAATCAACATAATAAACTAGCCGATTCAAATTTTTACTTGCTGAAACTGCGACAATATATACACTATATCATATATAAATATCGTAATGAATAAATTTACTCACCAACACTCACCGATGCTACTATAATTTTCGATCCGTGCCGCGCCAGGTCGATCCTGCGATCAGAAATCCTGTGGAAGATGCAAATTTATTTAGACAATGGCGATGATAACATTATGTATTGTTATAATTCAATCGTGTACGTTTTTTTTTTTTTCAATTTACATCAAATACGTTTAGTTACATCGTTATATACAATGAATACAAGAACTTATTATACACTAATTAATCCACCAATCGATATAACAATTCAATTCGCGAAGAGGAAGAGGACGCGATGAAACCGCGGCCAGTATGGACATTTGTAACTGAATAATTTAAGCGGAAAATTTTACTGCAATGTAATCACATACATATACATATATACATATTTTATCGATCTTTCTAGAGAACTATTTTCTTGCCAAAACTACAATAATATTACATCAATAACGAATAGATTCACTCACCGATATCCTGTTGATACATCCTTTTGATTACTGTTGCATATTGCATCGATCCTGGACAAGAAAAATCCTGCGAAAGATACGAGCCGTTTGAGACAATGACGGTGATATTTTTATTATAGATTGCTACGATTTGATCGCACTATCGCCATTCCTCTCAATTTACATTGCGTATTTTTAATTACATCGATGCAAACGATATCATACATTTCTTATACACTAATTAATTAACCGATCGATATAATAACTCAATTCGCGGAAAGAAAGACGCGGAGTCAATCTGCTGCCGACCGTTCATTTGAAATTTCCAGTAGAAACTAAATAACTTAGGCAGCGAACTTCATTGCACACTTTATTCCGTGTGACGTCACGTATTCACACACATATATATTATCGATCTTTCTAGATTACCTTCTTGCCGAAACTACGATAATATTACATCAATAACGAATAGATTCACTCACCGATATGTCCTGTCGATGCAGCTTCTGTTTATTATTGCATCGATCCTGGACAGGAAAAATCCTGCGAAATACACGAGCCGTTTGAGACAATGACGGTGATATTATTATTACGATTCGATCGCACGCCCTTATAGCCACTCCTCACAATTTACATTGCGTACTTTTAATTACATCGATGCAAACGATATCATACATTTCTTATACACTAATTAATTAACCGATCGATATAATAACTCAATTCGCGGAAAGAAAGACGCGGAGTCAATCTGCTGCCGACCGTTCATTTGAAATTTCCAGTAGAAACTAAATAACTTAGGCAGCGAACTTCATTGCACACTTTATTCCGTGTGACGTCACGTATTCACACACATATATATTATCGATCTTTCTAGATTACCTTCTTGCCGAAACTACGATAATATTACATCAATAACAAAAAGATTTACTCACCGGCAAATAAATTCACTCACCAATACGTCCTGTCTATGCAGTATCTGATTTCTGTTGCATCAGATCAATCCTGGACAAGAAAAATCCTGCGAAAGACATGAGCCGTTTGAGACAATGACGGTGATATCTTTATTACAGATTATTACGATTCGATCGCACGCCTTTATAGCCACTCCTCTCAATTTACATTGCGTACTTTTCATTACATCGACACGATATAATATATTTCTTATACACTAATTAATCCACCGATCGATATAACTCAACTCGCGAAAAGGAAGGGTCGACCCGGTGCCGACCGTTCATTTGAAATTTCCAGACTAAATAACTTAGGCAGTAAACTTCATTGCGCATCTTTACGTGTGACGTATGACCATAGATACATTGGAGGCGTATAGAATGCTCGCGACGCAACAAAAGAGATAGCGATACTGAAAGGATTACGTGTCTTTCTCTTTCTATTAGAGATAGAAATAGCAAGTTTTCTATAAAATCTTAGTTTTCTGTTAAGCTCTATCCTACCTTTTCAATCTGTACAATCTATGCTTCTTATGTCTATGCGTATAAAGTCTGTAGACTATGCATTAAAGATTGAAGAGCTAAAATTTCAATCTTCTATCTCCGTTACGAGCTTAACTCGGGACTCGCTCCACTTGACGTTACAAATATTGCAGAGCGTTTGATTGGCCAATCGAGATAAAAGGGATAAAATCTTTACTATTATTGGTCCATCAAACGCTTCGAAATAATTGTGATGTCAAGTAGAGCGCATCCCCACGCAATCGATCATTATATCATTATTAATCTTTGTAATCGTTGAAACTGTAGAGTTTCAATTCGTTTCGACGTTTCATGATTAATTGACTTTATCGAGCGATATATTTATATTATTTAGATATATTAAATATTTTCTCTTGTATTTTACGATAAGCTGGGTTTGTCATAAATATTCTCAGAAAGAGAAAGACAACGATCTTGATATCTCATCGAACTGTATTATTGGCGGAGTGCTTTTCACGTTTTCGCCGGTAAGTGGAAATTCTGCAAAACCAGCGAGACCGCCGGTCGAACTCGTGACGTCGTATATGTGCCGTGCTCTCCTCTGTAATCGTGTAGTTCAATACGGTGTGCAGCGATATTTGTATTGTGGGTGCAAGAGCAACGTGTGCAATAACGTACGAGGTATTTGTCAAAGGACAATGCACGGGGATTCGTCTGTGGAACGGGGGGCGCGGAGCGCACTTACATATTTCGATATTCGCTTGACTCGAAAGAGAATGCATATATGCATACGCGACATTACTAACATTCAAGTGTAACGAGCCTACGAACGTCGTGTGTCGATGAGCTCGTCGCAGCACAAAAGACGCCTACTCGACGGCTAAGGACATAGCGTACGTAAGTCGTAGGAAAAATTCATTCGCGACAATGTCAAAGTATCTCCTCGGCGAGCGATCGTTCCGGTAGCGAGGCAAGGTTAGGTTATGTTTTGCGGTGCAGTGCGGATAACTGCTTCGGTCACCGGCCGTCACGCGGCAGTACCGTCGCTCGGCACTGATAGCGCGGGTCTCCGCAATTTTTTTTTCTTTATTTTAATTGAATTTAATTTTAATTTTCCATTTTTAGCTGTTATTGATAATTTTTGATTTATAAAATGGAAATGTTAATACAATAGTTAGTAGAATGTTAGCAGGTGGAATTTGACAGACTTTTCCACGTAGACATCGGACTTAGGAACGCATCCCGATATTATAATATTAATTTTTTAATGTACCAATTCGAGGTGAGTGATTTTTAGTTTATTGTAAAACATTTTTTATTAAAATATTTTTTATTTAACTTTTCACGTTTTTCATTATCAATATATAGGTTCGTCGAGAACTTTTCCTCCGCTTTTCGCGATTCGACAGCAGCCTCGAGGATTCAATCTCGATCAGAGTAACGTGGTGCAACGCGTCTCCGAGATCGCCCATTAACCGCGCGTCAAGCGATCCGCAAAAGCGAGACGACGCTGTAAAAGGGGAGGGACGGTCACGCCACGGCGCCAAGGCGGCTCTTCTTCTTTGGGCTCTCGGCTCTCGAGTAGCATCGCGGGCGGGACGCTTCTTCGAGAGAAAGAGAGAGATGGAACGAGAGATGCTCCTCCATTATTGTAATTTGCAAATTTCCCCGGGACCGCGATGAAAAACGACGAGAGGCGCCGTGGTTTCGCGTTGAAACGCGCGAGCACAACGAAGGGAAAAAAAAGGAGAGGGTGGAGGTAGAAGAGCGCTACGGGGGTGGAAAGAGAGGAGAGGACGACGGCGGATGAAGAGAGGCGGAAAAAAAAAAGAGAGAAAGAAGGAATACAGGAACCGCGAAGACGGTGGCGGATTGGCGGCCTCGGGCGCGGTTGCGGATTCTCGGCGTGATGCCGGTGATTCGCGGCTTTGGTGCCCAGTAATCCTGCGGTCCCCCCTCGTGGCCCGGCCATATTCCTCCTCCCGCGCAGCCTCCTCCCTCGTCGTCTTTGATGCCGGCGCGGCGGTATGCCGGCGGGACAGGGGGCTCTCAATCTCGCGGTAAATACAGCAATCGCTCGCGATGTGCCGTCCGCATTAATATAATTAGTCATCGCGAGCGCTCGAGGATGCGGGGATTCTGGTGGTATCTCGCTTGCGCTCCGGGCGCTCCGCGCACTCATACACGCCGAAATATCTCGCAGCCGCGCTTAAGTATATTTCGGGGGATGCAGGGTATCGGCGGCGTGTGCCCTGAGGCCGACACCGCACGTCTACAGACGCGACAGGCGGAGTTACCGTCTTTATGTTCGTTAGCTGATTATGCTTCGTGCCTCGTGCGCGGCACTCGTTCCACAACTCTCTCCGCTTTGCGGAGGAGATAAAATTTAAATATCAATTCATATGCATATAAAAATATCTCGTGTTTTTTAGCATGGCTCCGAAGAAGGCCGAGGAACCTGAGCGGAAGCCGCTTATCGGTCGCGTTGGCACTAACTTGAAAATGGGCATAGTCGGTATACCGAACGTAGGGAAATCAACCTTCTTCAACGTTCTCACCAAGAGCCAGGCAGCGGCTGAGAATTTTCCTTTCTGCACCATCGATCCTAATGAAAATAAGTATCTTGATATATTCTTAATATGCTCTCAATCCTTTTTTTTTGTTTATTATATATTTTATTTAATATTAATATGATTAACTCTCTTGTTTCTCTCTCTATCGATAATTATTTTTATCTTGTTCGTACTAATCAAACTTTCGATTTTATGAATAGAGCATATAAATTTTCTTATTTTTTTATTGCGCGTATAACAAAATAATAATTTAGATACAGTATATATTCTGTCCAATGAAAGAACATCCACGGATCGAACGAAAATTCGTCCGTTTCGGATATGTCTCCACTCATCTAGAAAGCTCCCTTTCACACCGCCGTACTGCTCGTGCAACTTATTAGTGCTAGCAACAGGTGGTTAACAATAGTTTCGATTTTATATCACATTAAAATGTTGAAATTATTTCACCCGCTCAATTTTTTAAGCTGAGATAATAGCCCCGGGCTCGAGTATGTTTATACGTATACGGTAATGAGTAGCGCGCCACGCT